GTCGTAGAATAATCACTCAATCACCCAAAATAAAAGTAAAAGCAAGAATAAAAATTGGTGAGGTGTAAATTCAGAAGGCATCCGAAGATAAAATTTTGCTTAAAAAGAACTGATGTTCAACTATTTTTCTTTCATCTACCATTTTCCTCGCTATAGTGAGGTGAAAAGTTGTAAGTATCGCTCGGCATCAAAGTTGTTTTACGTCTCGTGTTTTGAAACCCTCGCTACGCTCAGGAATCTATTTTTGAACCACTCGCTATAACTTTGCAGCATTGTACAACAAATGACTATTATTTTCACTAATATCAGGTTTCTTACCACGGTATGACTTCTATTTATTTTCCCGATATTTCGGAACGGTTGCACGCTCCATGGTCACGCGTTGTAAGAAACCTGATTAGTGACAATCATTTAGTAAATAACCACGAAAGTCTTAAAATCTATAAATGACTATTATTTGTTAGGAAAACCAACAACTGAATAATAAATGGTAATAATAACAACTGAAGGCTGATTTGGACGACTTCGGAGCCGAACGTTACGTTAATTAAATACAAAACTTTAAATAAAATTCAAACAAATAAAATCGATTAGTATGTCATTGAGTACGTTATCCCGCACGGGAAAGCGAAAAGACGATGTCTCTCAGGGACGCATAAACTCAAACTTTCCACAATAAAGTTGATTAGATATTTGACAGTGCAACATTCTGAATACGTCTTCTCATCCTGTTGTAACCCAACCATGTCCAAAACGAACGGACAGAAAGCTTTTAAGAAGAACCGACCGGTTCAAGGGATCAATTTCCGCCTTACTTCCTACACCCTCCATCTTGGTTCTCGGTACTTAGCAGCGGCGCAAGGGACTCGGATTGAATTTACTTAGAGAAAGGCATAAATGCAATTAACTGGAAAACTGCTCAGTGCGAGCACTTACCTGCATTGGCTGGTTAAAAATGCACCTCCAACAGTCAAGCTCATTGTTTAACAAAGCTTTATTTCAGGGTTCTTTATTGCGACTTGTACGCTCACAAAACAACTAATGAAATGCTCTTTATTGCATAATGCGAATTATGTATATAACTAAGATTAACTTGAAAATTATTATTGTCCTTAAAAATCCAGCTGAAAGGTACCAGGAATAAATGGGTGTATATGAAGATGTTATTAGCAATACCTCTCTCTCTAATGGAAGGTAAATAATCGTGATAAAGCCTGTATGTTGAAGAAAGTTCACAATTCTTGGAAAACATATAATGTCCCCAATTCCCATTTCTGTCGCTGTTAATCGAAAAAAAAATATTATGGGTACTGCCGTGATTAGTAAAAGCCTCTAGTGAGTCAACCGTGACCATGGGACCTGTAAAAGGCCTGAAACGTAGTTTTGTTTAATATACAATAAATATACGCGATTTAAATCCAGAAAAACAGTTTCAACTCTGTCTCTATTTTTATCTTTTTCTAGGTGCATAATGTATGAAGTTACCGTAACAGAAAAGTAGATTTTTTTCTAATTATTTTAATTTCTAATTTATTTTCTTTACACACGTGAACTTGTAATGGGTTGACACAGATGATGTCTGAGATATAAATGAAAATGTTCTTGATTAAATGTCAAGTCTGTAACTACACATATACAAATTTCAATAGAAATGTTAGCAAGACAAAAAATTATATTAATTTTTGGGGCTGGTAGCTGTAAATGTATTTAACTGAGTGGTGAAATATCACAGATTTCTCATAGATGGCGCTACGACGAAAAAGTCATTGAAAAACCAAATACAAAGATACGACGCAAGCACATAGAATAATTCGTGAGGTGCACTGGTTCGTTCCGTGGCTTAGTTGGTATAGCGTCTAGCATGGTATGCTTGAAGACGTCGGTTCCAATCCGCCCGGGTCGAAGGACTTTTTATAAATGTTCTACCTATGTATTAATTATAACACGACAAAGTAAACTCTCTGAAATATAATATAGTCCTACCGCTGGGCATAGGCCTCCTCTCATAATGCGAGAGCTATATTGTAGTTCCTACGCGGGCCCAATGTAATGAAATATATATTTATTGATACCATAGCAGGTACATAGACATTATCACCCTATCTCCCAAACTAGGCGAACTTGTATCTTGGGAACCAATTCCAAATCCAAAAAAAGAAACTTCACACACGTCATTAAATTGCTTTGCAGACGTGTGCAGGTTTCGCCACAATGTTTTCTTTCACCGAAAAACTCGTGGTAATTTTCACAATAAACTTCGTACTTCCGCAAAACTCAGAATTCGAAGACACAACCGTCTGCTTGAGAGGCCATTTGAACCATTAAGCTGCCACAGCGTTATCTCTGAAATATCGCGACCAGTTATTATATCGACTACATCAATACTCAATATAATCATTTCAAATTGTTCTCCGTAATTGACGACGCTTTCTATATTCTTTATCATTAATTCCTTATATTTCGTGCTTAAATAGGTCAAAACGTTTAACAAATCTGATAAACCATTTCCCTGAGTTAAACTAACAAACCTATTAAACTACGGACCCCTTTAACATTTAACTATAATCTCAATTTGAATGTACCAGATTTCTCTTTGCAGCGAACCGGAATGCATTAGAAGAAGCGCGGGACTGAGTTATGCTCCCTGCGAACTCCGAAGCTCTATTACACTGATTTAAACTTCCCCTTCTTGCGCGACTCTCTGACTAGGAGCTATTAGTGTTAGTTTTTAGCACTAGTTCTAGTTTCTCGATTTATACTAGTTAGTTAAGAATACTAACTTTCAAACATCATTGTAAAACTCTGTTTCAAATAACATAAATTTCAAATACTGCATTTGAAATTTAAATTAAGAGGTAGAAAACTAATTTGGTAGGTACCCTATTAGACAACTTAGAGGGCGACTTGAGTTTCTAACTTTGTTCAGTTAGACCAGGGTCATATTTTATAAATAGCTGTGTACATCCAAGGTCGGCACTTGGACTTATTCTTTTCACTACAAGTGGTACAGATTGTACCGTATGTTACTATCTATCTATCTCTATATATTAATCTACAAATATTCACTTGAAAAGCGTGTCAAGAGGCTTATACGGAATTAGTAGAGACGATGCTACAGAGCCTTGAACATCGCCGTAAACTTGCCTGCTTATCGCTACAGGATATATCACGGAGAGTGTGCGAGGGAATTGCACGAATGAATTCATCAGTGAGCTAGGGTTCCACCCTTATATACATTATGGATATTTCAAGGATTCATACGAGGCGGTTTGCTCCCATATGGTGATCCCATTTATATGGTGAATGGCTATGGAGTGGAGTTCCCTAACTGCAAATTTGTTTCCTGAACGGCCTTGGGCTTTTTCAAGGCGAAAGTGAATAGGCATTATTTAGGTGTGCATGCGCCATCTTCGGCTTCATCATTACTTTTCATCAAGTGAGAAAGAGGTCAAATGCACACTTATTTTTTAATGTAAAAAATAGAATAATGAACATCTTTGAACTAAAAAACGTTATATATATATATATATATATATATATATATATTATAAAACTGCACCCGTCACCCCGAGTTATTTATTTATTTATTTATAGAATAGAATAGAATAGAATCGTTTATTTCATGTTATCAATGTCACAATATTACAATTGGAAATACAATGTCAAGGGATAACTATGATCAGTCAGTAACAAAATAATAATAATATATTTATTAATATATTTATTACAAAATAATATTTATTATTTGTTTATGTAACGACTTCGATTAACCAGCGGTTAGCACTATGAGCGTTAGATGAGGAAAAACACTTTTCCGAAACACACTTTTTTCACTAAATTGGTTCTGATCTGGGGGTGTTCACAGAAATAAATCCAAATAGAACGACGATGATGCATTTCTTAAACAGATGAAGCACGTCATCTTTTTCATAAATTCCGCTCACCACGTGTATTTCAAAGTGCATAATTAGTGAAGTAACACAAATATTTTGTTAAAATCTTATTACCAAATTTTGTTTACTACCTGTAAGTACAACTAAAATAATAATGTGACAACCCTACGCTTCCAATAAAGTGTAGGTATTGATGCGCCCATTAAGCAAGAGTTGACCTACTTGTTCTTATTATACTATGTCATTAACGCTCTACATGTGCTTTAAGGGCACTTTTAATCTATAAAAATCCCAGCGCGGATGGAAAAATAGTCGAGCCAACTTGGTTAGTCATGCAAATGCACTACTTAAGTCTTGGGTCCACTACTTACTCAAGTTTTAATACCAACTTTGATTTTACTTTGGGAGAAAATGAAAAACGTGCCGGAGGGAAGTATTAAGATTTTGATTTGCATTTATTAAACGCAGCTAGTGTCTATTATAATTTATTTATAACAGGAGACTGGAGCGCCCGTAGTAGGTCATGTAAGGTTTGATTCAAATCAAATTCTATTTGATGTCAGTTTACATTTGGACTCTAAGATTTACAACAATTTTCTTGTAGAGTCGAAGCTACAAAATCTCGGCCATCGCAGAAAAGTAGCCTTCTTGTCCGTTCTCTATTGGACACATTTCGGGGAGTGTGCGCAGGAACTTTTCAATTTAGTTCCACCCTCACCGTTCCTCCTTCGGTACTAGAAGGTCCGGAACACTCCACCCTTATGTCGTTGATATACCAAGATGCGTGCAAGTGCGCTTTGCTGCCTTCTCTATATCTGTGTTTCCCGAAAAGTACAATTTGGGGCTATTCAAGGCTAGAGTGAATAGGCATTTTTTTAGGCAAACGTGTCCCATTGTCGGTCACATGGTCGCTTAACATCAGGTGAGATTGTGGCCAAGCGTGTGTCTATTATATATTTAAAAAAAACATCGTGTTATGTGAGCTGCTGCCCAGTCCTAAACGCTCAAGACGTCCTTGCATCTCTAAAATGCTCATTCGTCCCAGATGTAAAACAAATTTCTTTTGTAACTGATAACAATCACACTGGTGGGTCTGACATCACAATTAATTCAATTTAGACACTTGAAACTTGGGTAATAAACTCACTGAAATAAGAACTAAATAATTTAAAAGTCTTTATTAAGCCTATGGAACACTCCCCTATTATTCGTATACATGAAAGATAATCTATTTGTTCATAAATATACAGATGGTGTCACAAGTGCTACATACAGACTGATTCTATAAGCGTATAAACAATGTCATCTTTTGCAGCGACATCGGCAGATACGTTTGAGAGCGCGTTTCATACCCGCAAAGAAGTGGATCACTTGCTCCTGAAAAAGGTATACAATGATGTCAATACGTACAAAAGCAAACCGAATATAGTTGAATGGTTAAATGCAATGATATTACACTGTTAAATGAGTCATTATCATTTAAAAAGAAGAAAAGAATTTTATTTTTCCGGATTTAAATCGCGTATATTTGTTTTTTCAAACAAACCGACGTTTCGGGCCCTTTACAGGTCCCATTTTCACGGTTGACTGAGGTGGTACAGTCTTCAACCAGTTATGTCTAATATTGATGCAAACCACCTTATTTTTTCACTATAGTTACAATAGTTATTAATTAAATACCTTATTTTTAATTTTACAAAGAAAACATTCCAATTTACGCTACATTAAGTTTTACAAATTATTTTATTGAATGAATTTTTATTAAGTTAAATTTATTATTAATTACTAATAGAAAATAGAATAAACTAAAACATATTAATTAGTACTGCAGTCTTATGTCTGTTTGGGATTTTTCATTAGAGGAAATACTGGATCCCAAAGTGGTGGTACGGAGAAACCATCTTCCCTGTTGAAATTAGGATGTTTTTTAATTTCAATGGCCTCTCGCAGCATCCTGGGTAGATAACGGACTTCTTTTGCAAGAACTTGGGGTTTGTCAACTTCATTGAGTATGTAGGTTTATCCATGACATGCTCGCAGACTGCAGACTTGTTTACGCGACGGTGTTGTTGACTGTGTGGTTGAAGACTGTACCACCTCAGTCAACCGTGAAAATGGGACCTGTAAAGGGCCCGAAACGTCGGTTTGTTTGAAAAAACGAATATACGCGATTTAAATCCGGAAAAATAGTTCCATTTCCTATGTGTAACAATCGCGAAAACCTAAGAACTCAAAAGAATTTTAGTTTAGAATTGTCATATTAACGTGCGAACCATAGTAAGTCTAAAGAAACGTCAATTCTATAACGCTAGACTGTCCAAAGTATTGTTAAATTCTACGAACTGAGAGAAATGATAACAAAACCATTACGTCAAAAGTCAGGATTATGCTTTTAGGAAATTATTTTTATGTAACATTCATTGAGCTCGACTTTGAGTGAAAGACAAGCTGACGAAAACCCGACAGTGGAAATGTAAAGTCAGGATTCTCTGATCATATTTTACAAATATACAAACACTGGAATGTAATAATAAAGTTAAATAATTTAATATTTGTAAGACAGGTATTACAGAACATTCCTGTGCAATTTCGAGAATCAATTTCATTTTAAACAGGTTAGGGTTGTAATGTTTTGATTTTTGTTATTATCAATTTCATATTATATTTTGTGTCGAACTGCAAATGAGGCTTATGCTATTATTGTTACAAAAATAACACAAGGCATTAACGTCATGTCATAAAATAATGTCCCTGAAGTCTTGAACTATAAATCGTAAATCATTACTGTAAATAAGAAATAAGGTAAGCCCAAGTATTGACCCCTGTGGAAAAACAAAGTTTACTGACCAACCAGTCTAGACGACGATATCAAGCGGTTAAGCTGGATATTATTTTTAACTCTTAATAATACTTTTAACTTGCTAATAATTTTCACGAACCTGCATGAGGTTAAAGCACATGGCGACGAGTGCCATTCCCAGCATTAGATACATAGAGCACACGATGAAAGGGGCTTGTATGCGTTCGGTATACACTCGCTCACCGGGCACGAAATCTCCAAAACCAATACTGTAAAAACCACATAGGTAGACCAATTAAAAATCATATTTGAAAAAGTTATCAGAAAGTATTTATTTTATAGTATATTACTCTAGCTTGGTTTAGCAAATAAACCAAATTTCTTCAGTAAGCACACCTCCTACGATTGAAATGTTTTATTTATGACATCTGATCAATGTTTAACTGCTTCTGTGATCGAACAGTTGCCGTGCTGGTTTGGCACGCAGAGATTGCGGGTACGATTCCTGGGCTGGGAAAAATATGTGTATATTTCTCCCGGCGCAGGAATCGAACCTTACATTTATGGCCTACATTTATTTCTCTCGTGAGTTTGGATGTAATTTGTGCTTGTCTATGTATGTGTCCATTGCGCCCGCGGATTAGTGCGGGGCTATGAGTGTGTGCATTATTTATTTATTTATTTAATCATAATCAGTGAAGTCCACGTCGTACTTAAATAACTAATGTACCACAAATTCTATTCACTACAAAAATAAATTTCTAAGTATTTGTGGAAACAATAGTGACAATAATTAACACATATCTCACTATTAATACTCCTGCAGTTATTTTTTTACATTTTAAATCTCACTTAATTACACCAAAAAATATTTTCCACTTCACCCAAAACTTAAAAAATAAAACTTCGGCTTTCAATACTGCGCTGTTGTGATTGAGTTACAGTTTTTATATTTATATCAAATTTTAACTTTAATGGTTTTGGAGAAAAGCAGCTATGACAGATGAACGGATGGTGGACACAGACGAGATTCCATAAGTGTTCAGCTGTCTCAATTTTGACACGTAAGTGAGCAACATTAAAAATTTTAAAGAGACTTATGTGTCCCACATTAACACAGACGAGATTCTATAAGTGTTCAACTATGTCAAATTGTGTCCCACATATACCACAGACGGGATTCTATAAGTGTTTAACTATTTCAAATTGTATCCCACATATACCACAGACGGGATTCTATAAGTGTTCAACTATCTCAAATTGTGTCCCACATATACCACAGACGGGATTCTATAAGTGGTTAACTATTTCAAATTGTGTCCCACATATAACACAGACGGGATTCTATAAGTGTTCAACTATCCCAAATTGTGTTCCACATATAACACAGACAGACGGGTTTCTTTAAGTGTTCAACTATCTCAATTTTGATACGTAAATGAGCAACATTAAAAATTGTAAGGGCAATCGCCATTAGGTGCCATTTAAAATGTAAGTGCGAAAGAGGCAACGTTACAAAATGAAGAGGAATGAAGGATAATAAAAACAGCTCAAGTTTGTATCAGCAATTACCAGCTCAGAGAAATAAAGCAGAAATATGAGCCATCGAGTAGGCTCCAGTCCTCCCATTGACGAAACAACATCGACCCGAACATCAGGTACCTGTAAATAATTTATATTTCAAATATATAATATAATCAATACTTTAAAGTATTGAATATTAATCATCATTATCATCTTTGACTTCGACTTAACACAATTTGTGTTATTAACTTTCTTCCTCCTTCTTCAGAAATTAATAAATAATGTTTCTATAAGATTCCGGTTCATATTAAAAATTTGCCATCTACTAGGTTTAAAGTACAGTGAAACAAAACCTTTATGCCAAATGATACAGCTTCTGCGTACTTGGATACCAAAAGTCCGTGGTAGTGACAACATTTTTCATTCTATAATGCTTTATTTATTATTAAAATAAAATTTCAGCTCTTTTTTTCAGAATTTCCGCATCAGCAACGATAATAATTCAGAAAATTATTAACGATAAGTAGGTCTTTGATTGCTTGTTGTGCGTTTGTCGAACCAATATTAAGTATTTTCGTTTTATGCCTAATAACGTAATACCATTACGTTATTAAACCTTCGAGTACCAATTCTTTACTTTTCGTTTATTTCCACGGTAATATTCTACAAGAACGAGTGTATTGTTTATTGCTTTACATGTTAATCAGATACGTTCACGTGTATGAGCTTATAGCAATAAAATGTTTCCTCCATAAGGAATATCAATTTGTAAAATAATATTGTATAATTTTTGCGAACAATTGAGAGATCGGTGGTTCGAACCCTGTGACGGCATACACCTATATCTTTAATCTGTAAGACGCGTACATTTATTAATGTTTAGCAACGATACCTCAATTTAACTGTGAAGAAAAACATTGATGAAACTGGTCGAAGAAAGTTCACAACCCTTAGAAACGTGTGAAATATCCAATTTTAGTAGCATTAGAGCTCGTTGTGATAGAGTTCGTCCAGGGAAGTGCTGCCACCTTACCTATTTCTGCCGCCAAGCGGTAATGTGAGCATTAGTGCACTCAGGTTTTGAAGGGTAAGGATGCTAATGGAATTACAGGCACACGGGACTTGTCAACTTATGTCTCAGGGTGACGGGTGCAGTGGCAGTCACTTGGTATCATAAAAAAGTCGTGTTAGGCCAACATGGCGGCATATGACCTTAACCATTAGGAAGTGTAACGCTTTCACTATGATGATACTGATAGTAATGATTCTGCAAGATCTGTGCGCTAATCTGAAGCTGACTCCCGAGCGTAACTCTCTTCGTAGCTCGGTGAGTGATGCTGAAATATGTATCAAACTAAATAACCAGCCGTCACCATGAGACTTGAAAAAACAAATACACGTGATTTAGAGCCGCAAAAGTAAGAAAAGTCGATTAATCATTTCAACTAGGGAAACTTACCCAAACATAATAGCAACGCAAACGCTAATCGGCACAGTGATGGCCTGAGCATCAAAGGTGACGTAGCTGAACTCGCTGGATGTCTCGCTACGGGCGGCCACGGGCTCGGACCAGCCCCGGGGCGCGGGGCGGGGAGGCTCGTAATACCGTGGCATCGGCATTGATGTGCTCCTTGTATAGTCTGGGCGCCTGAATAGCAATCGTCTTTATTTTGAAAATGATCGAATCATTGGCTAGCAACATTTTCAGTAGTTCGTTTTTACTACTAGAATGATTGCTAGCACAAATCAAAATGGTGGATGGATCTAATGAAAGGCTCAATAAATCAACAAATTTATCTCCTGTCAGTGGTTCATTGAGTTTACAGACAAGAGCGCAACGTAAAACAAATCGTTCGGAAAAAGTTTGAACAATGATTTATTTCCCCCTCGAGGCGCGTTTTAAAGACCCTTATTAAAAATACACTCGACTTTATCCATTATCGTCGACACGTCACTTTGGAGTAATACGCTTCTTTTACACAATCTTGAACCTTCCCATCAATCTTGCGAATGATAGATCGTTCCGAAAAAGATACTAAAATGGAATTTTATACAGAAACTTCTTGTACAAACGTGGCAGAGGTAAATAAAAGCACGAAAATGTAACCGCTACAGTATCCTGTACATCAGGATACTGAAGTAATTGCATAATAGCAGATGTTTCATTCCGTTAAAATCAGAAATTGAAGAATATTTTTAAACTCTATCAACGATCCATTAATGAAAATTAAATTTTCAAACAGACACGACAATATTAATGATTAAGAAACAGCATCAAAGATTTTAAAAAAATCATTTGCATTTACACGCGCATGACAAAGTAAACTCACTGTTATGTAGTTTTTCTAGATTTTAGCGTCAAAACAAAACAGGTTTGACTTTAAAGACGCGATCAGTGTGCCACTAATAAATCGATTTGTAATAGTGCGTGTGAAAGAGAACAAATTTTTTTTAGTGAAGGAAATAAAGCAAGGGCAAAATGAATGAAAGTTTTCTGTTCTCTGAATGTTCTCAAACTTTGGAATCTTGTTGATAAGACTTTTATAGGTATCAAAATATTTTTTTAAGAAAAGCGGGAAAAAGTGATATATACTTTTTAGAGTGATATCCCTGATCTATCAAAATAAAAAACACTTGATTCTCCATCACGATTAGTGCACGCGCCGGTAATAAATAGATTTATAGCACTTACCTCTGAAAATTCTTAGGATATGGTGTATATCTTGCAGCGCTTGGTATTCTGGGTTCTCTAGATTGTGGATATCTGTCATATGGATTTGTACCTGCGTCATATCTGTCAAAGAGTTCTCTGTTTTTCTGATGTCGTTCGGACGGATATATATTCTGTAGTCGTAAATCATTCATTCTATATTCATAATTGTCTTTAAACGTATTAACTGAATGTCTATACCTTTCTTCTCTGAACGGTGGGTATGCGCCAGAAGTATATCTGTTTGGATACCTATCCAAAAGGTCACTATACTGATAGTTCCTATTAGCTTTCTGACCATATCTATCTACAAAATCTCTATACTGTGGGCAACCTTCTCTATAAGGCGGGAACCTATACAAGTGTTCTTCTTCATCTAAACTATCTTGGCCTCTATCAATATAGCCATCTGCATTGATTCTATTAGACTGATATCTCAAGTCTGCCTGGTTATTGTTTTGTAGAATGTTGAAGGCAGGATCGTTTCTCCAACCTTCTGGACGTTCAATGCTTTCGACATCGCTGACTTCTAGCTGGAAATAAACAAATACTTAGGAAGGAACTAAAAATGCAGTTAGTTCGTTAGTTACCCAACAGCTCCTGATGACTATCGAGTGTTCAGTAATTGATAAAATTTAAAAACAAATATTTTGCATTTTTATTATGGAACTACACCAAACTAATACTTTTAAGAGAACTTAATAGGATATGCTCAAAATCTAAAATTTTCTGAAAGTACCAAGTCATACCTGTGTCCTTAATCTCGCCACTCTTCTCATCCTAAACCCAGGGCATCCTCTGCACAGGCAAACTAACGCGTAGATGCATTTGAACCACCGAGCTAACAATTCGCCTGAAACAAATAAATCTTACGATTTCAACTTTACAATTTCATCTCAATCTCGTGTAGTTGTCGACGTCGGTTAAAATGAAAATTGTCATATCTATCATAGACATATCTTACCACCATGGATGTCATAGAATGCAAATTAGTCAAGAATTTAGGAGTTATACTATGACCATGTGTATTAGGTTGAAACTAACGTGGCAATTAAGTAAAATCTTCGATATTGTAGACGTTAAAGATCTTCCCAAGACGAAAGCAAACACACTAATTTCATCATCATCATCAACTCATCATATGTCCTTATATACCGTTATCTCTTAGGCAAGTGTTTTAGGCGATAATCTACCACGCTGGTCCAATACGGGCCGGGGACTTCACACGTTGAGAACCTTCTTTGACGTGCAAGTTTCATCGCAATGGTTTCCTTCACCGAAAAGCACAAGGTAAATTTCAAATTAAATTCCGCGCACAAATTTCAAAAAACTCAAAGGTGCGAAACCGGATTTGAACCCACGACCTCAGCTCGCGAGGCAGTAAGTTATATCATTAGGCTACTACAGCTTTTTTATACTCGTTTAGATTTATTTAATTCGCATACTCTTACCAATATTAGCAAGGTACAGTAGAAACAAAGGCAGTCCAAGCAAGGCGTAGAAGATAGTCAGTATCTTGCCTAAGGCCGTACGCGGAGACAGGTGCCCGTAACCTATGAACATAATTAAAATGTTGTAGTAGAAATGTTTTTGTTTTCCTTCACTTACATACTCAAAGGCTAGATGGACTGTTGTAATCAACAACTAGGAATCAATTAATGCCATTTTTTTATGAAAGCAAATAGGCTCATTATTAGAGACCCCTCATTCGAGCGTCTACGTCTAGCCAACGCACGCACAGCGTCGACATGACGCGCCACGTGGACGTCCTGTCCACTCTTTGTGACTCTGTGCGGGCTTATGGCAAGATGCCGACGCTCGAAAGACGTTAGTGTGGGGTCTCTTAGTACGCCTTCAAATCAGACGTATTTAATACCAATTTTCGGATAATATTTAGCTATCTACTATCGCGATACGTGTGCGCCAGTTTTGCAGCCACAATTAGTGAACTAGAAATTACTGAAGCGCTAATTTGAAGACGCCCTTATAGATAAAAATTAAACGAACCAATGGTGGTGATTATGGTGAGTGAGTACAAGAAAGCTGATGAGAAGCTCCAGTGGCGGCTAGCGCGGTCTCCGTCCCACCCATGCCGTGCTGCTAACACTATCTTCTTTTGATATATGAATAACTCTTCTCTAATCCTGCAAAACAGAAAACTGGAATAGGATTTGTCTGAATACGTAATAAATAAATATAGGGCTCTGGTGTCGAAACCAAAAAGCTGGAAGGTAATCCGTTCATTACAATTTTCATTCAACATTATTATCCATTCATTTTTTATGGATTTCAGTGCCTTACATAAATCACGTAAAAAACATGTAATCTAATAACAGTAGTAGCAGAGCTTCCTGTGAAAGAGTTTGTCCAGGAAAGGCAGGTCAATGCCAGGAAAAGTGGGTAAACCGGTCCCACGGGCCACTGGCGTACCACCTTGTGCAGGTGCTGACCGGTCACGGCTGCTTCGGTCACTACCTGCACAAGGTGGCGAGGAGAGAACCGTCCCCGTCGTGCCACGAGTGCTGCGCTGGGGTTGACACCGCGCAGCACGCGCTAGAGGTGTGTAGCCGGTGGGATGAACAGCGCCGCACTCTGACGGGGACTGTAGGGCAGGACCTCTCGCTGCCGAGCGTGGTTGCCGCCATGCTCGATAGCGAGGAGTCTTGGGAGGCGGTGGCCTCCTTTTGCGCAGAGGTTATGTCGCAAAAGGAGGCCGCGGAGAGGGTGCGCGAGGACGCGGCGGACGCGCACCCGCTCCGGCACAGACGTACGGGGAGAAGGCGAAGGCAGTTCGCTGCTCGCCTGATCCTCTAGTGAGACCAGCGGCGGGCTCTGTACAGGGACTCCGGAGCCTGCAGTGCACGGCCTCACTCGTCTGAGGGGCTGGTCAGATGACAACCGACTCGCCCCTCCGTTGGCGCGGGAGCCCTGGCGTAAGCTAGGGCGGCCGGGTGGCGTCGTGGTGAATGTTCACTGATCCCACGGCGCCGACTCACCCGGCGAGAGGGAAACCCGGGGGGGTTTTAGTGGGGTAGGCCTTCCAGTCTGGAGGGAGAGTCCCCACATAACCCCTGAGTCTCCCTGGGCTCAGGGGTATCCATAAAGATTTCCCCCCGTCAAAAAAAAAAAAAAAGGTCAATGCCAGGAAGACACTGTAACTATTTTCGTTGCCAGGCAGTAAAGTGAGCATCACGTATCAGGTAAGAGTGCTGGTGAAAATACCCGCTCATGGTACCTGCCAACTTTATGTCTCAGAGTGACGGGTGCTGCGATTGTGTCCCTGAGATCTTTGCGCAATCTGCGCAATTAAAATTAATATAAATAAAATAAGAACAGGTGGAGGAAATTTGCACAGATCCGATGTCAACAAGCGCCCGATGGCGACTGACGGGGCAGCGGGTGGCGCGGCGTGTCGTTAAACTGGACAATTTTCAAGTTTTGGGATGGAATGTGAAATAGTTATTATGTTAGTTGGTTAGTTTTTAAGTAATTAGTTGTTATTAGGGCTTCAGTCAAATTATGTGCAAAGTTACATATTTTATTCTTAAATTATTCTTTTTAGAGTTTTATTTGTACCTGTTTTCGGAATTATATGTGATCGAATAAAGTACATCCTATCGTGTAACGATTAGCACATTATTTAGATAATATCCTCATGTGTATCGTATATTCTTAATAAAGCCTTATTAAAACCATTTATTTTAATATAGCAAACCAGTTTTTCGCGCTTCGTTCTTTCTTACGCTGTTGTTTACCATCAGACGCACGACTTGTTTGATAATCATAAAAGAAAGCGGCAATTAAAAACTTTAATATGATTTTAATTGGATCTTTTCGGAGTATTTTTCTAACTAAAGTACGTTATTATTAAATACGTTTCTATACATTTTCTTTGCAGTGATTCTTTTAAATAATTGTTATAGAAAAATTTAAAAAATATACAAAACAAAAAGAGCCTAAGGCAATGAACACGAGTATTTGACAAACAGCATACTTATTGTTGTGTAAACAAAATTGTATCACACGAAATGTAGGCGATGACAAAACTTGAGTGTTTACCTAAAAACATGAAAGCGTGTTTGCAAATATCGAAGGTTTGTTTGAGGAATATTGTTTGACGAATGAGTTTAGTAAACGTAGAAGCAATTACGAAGCAGTGTACCAACTTTGTACATGAATTTAGCATTTTTGACGTAATGGTTCATGACAGCTTCAAAATCTTAAAAGAACTTTAGAAATTGATGTTGTTAGTGTAGTGTGAAATCCTACAATTATGACTTTAATAAGAAAAAGCAAACCAGAGTAGTTGCTCCCCGCCGTCTGCGCCTGCAGCCGTTCTGAGTGACCGGGGTTTTGGCGTGTCACGGTGACCACGGATTGGTCTGATACACGGCGGGCATAAATTCGACTTGAATACGTGAGTTAATATATCTGAATTTCACGGTGGTTTTCTATTTAAAATCTTAAAAGGCTATGCCAAAATAGCTTAATACAATATAATGACGTAGTTATTTAAGAGACAAAAAGCAAATGAGTATCAATTATAACTACTAACTAGTGGAGCACTTATATAGATTTATAAACAAATATAAAAAAGCGTCATCTTTTGTCAGTCGCTGGTAGTTGTACCTAAAGGTAAGTGAAGAAAAAACTTTCATAGTTTTCTCGTAGATGGCGCTACGGCAAAAAGCCGTTAAAAACCAAAAACAACACAAAAACAGCGAAAAATTCGTAAGGACTGCCGACTCGTTCCGTATCCGTAGCTCGTTGAGAGAGCGACCTGCGTTATGCGAAATGGCGCTGGTTCAAGTCCAGTCGGATGGATGGAATTTTTTGGTTATGGTTTTTAACAACTTTTTTGGCGTAGCGCCATCTGTGAGAAATCTAGGAAAGCTTTTGTTCACTCAGCCAAGTACCTTTACAGGTACCAGCATAGGTAATAATATTAATAATAACGCAGACACTCATCATATCCCCGCACTAGGGACACCCTGTGTCGCGGGTCCATGGACACACACATAGACCACCATAAATTACACCCAAACTCACGAGAGCAATAAATGCAGGCTACACAAATATTTCTCCCGGCCCGGGTATCGAACCTGGGACCTCTGCGTGGCAGTCCGGCATGGTAGCCGTTCGACCATGAAGGCAGTAGTAAAGTGATTTTAAACTAATTTCCCTTCTTGAAGACAACGTAGAAATGGGCTTTTCACTTTGAGGCTTAGCAATTTTCTCAAAGGCTTAGCAATACTAAGTTTACTGCCTCGGTTATTCTTGGCAATCCTCTTCACGTGTGTGCCTACCAAGAGAGCAGGCTTTATTGTATTTCGGAGAAAGATGACTGACTACGCATTAATCGTTTATGTTGTTATGCGAATTGATTAGTTTATGTTAATGTACTTTGTCAAAGTTAGGTAAATAACGTTATATAGAGCATTGCGACGTGATACTTAACACTTAAAGTTCAATGTCACTTACAGGTCAACCAAACACCGAACACAGGCTTCTCTAATAACAATGCCGTATTATTTCGCTATTAGTGCCAAAACTATTGAAAAGAATCGAAACTCTGAGACAAAAAGTACATTTTTGTTTTTTTCTTCCACACAGTAGAGAGCGACGTATAGATAATAAGACAGCGTATAGTGGTTATAATCAAAAAGGACATGCTTCTATGGTTTAGTCAGGTAGAAAGGACGGATCATGGTAGCACAACGGTAACCATTTATAAAGTGAAAGTGGATGGAAACGTAGGGAAAGGTAGACCTTAGCTCACATATCCCAATTTAATTAAGGATAAGAATAGAATCTAAAGCACCCACATTAAACGAGCATATACAAAGAGTTTAATGCGGACGCAGGAAATTGAAAAGATAGAAAAACTTAGTAAATGAAGATCCTTTTTTAACCGACTTCGAAAAAGGAGGTTCTCAATTCACCTGTATGTTACGCGATAACTCATTTGCATTGGCATTTATGAACCGATTTTGATGGTTATATTTTTGTGGGAAAGAGAGTACCTACCTCAGTATTGGTTCCATTGAAATTGGAAGAAATATTCCACGTCTAAGGGAGGCAAGCCAAAACACCAACAACCTCAGTACAAAGTACTAAGAAACCCACCTCAAAAATTCGAAAAATTACATCTATTTGGCAAGTTTTATTGACATCGATTACCGAACAGTGCGCGAAACCGGATTCGTCCCCTAGTTTGCCACAAATAGAAGTGAAATATTGTCTTCAAATTTAAATTGAACCAATACTGAAGTAGCCTTCTTTCCAACAAATAACAATCATCAAAATCGATTCACAAACGCCGGACTAATCGCGTAACACACATTAAAAAAAGTTACAAATGGAGTCGAGTCTTTGAATGGGCTTGAAAATCGTAATCGGTTTTTGTGACAAATCTCTTTTAAAAAAAAGGTCCATATTATCTCTGCATTATGGATGTAGGGTTGTCCAAATATTTTGCAGTAATCGGATGATTCAAGCCTGGTTCTGTCCGATTTGTGGGTGGAATTCAGACGATTGTCCACCTTACATCGTGCCCTGCTTGACCTAACACCTGCGCGCTTAAGGATTACTAATAACGCGACTACGCAATAGTATACTGAATACCGTCCATACGATAACAATAATGTTACTTAAACCGGCTGTAGCCAATACAGAAACAATCCAGGATTGCAAAGTCGTTTGACCGCATCATCCAATATATAACCAGAAATAGAAATGAAATAAGGATCATACATTCCTGGTAACTCATCAGTGATACATCCCTTAAAAATATCAACTCTCGCTTGCACTGAAATATAGGCTGCACCAACAAGTGACCCGTGTGTACGTCTTCGTATATTCCAAAAATATTCTGTATTTATTGTAATAAATATAATATCGGTAACAATGGCGTGCTGTTCCATGCCACCGCATGGGGAAAAACAGCAAAACATCCAATTACAAAACAAACGGAATCAAATTTAATCGGTAATTAAATATTAAATATGTAATTTTGCAATTTTCGTCATAGCAAAGCTCAACTGGTCGATTTTAAGTGAAACAATTGACGACACCCCTCAATTGTTTCGAATTCGGGCTAGCCAATCGGAGCGCAGGTTGTCACAGTAATGATATGGCAGAATAGTTTTCAAACAAATTAAACGACATTTCGTCTCTATTTCTGGTTATATACTCGATGGACCGCATCCAATGTCTTCCGCAAGCAATGTAGCATCTATAAACACTTACCTGGTCTTAATAGCAGTTTCATTCAACGGGTTGTAATGCACGGTGACATTTCTCCAGAGAAACTGCGCGAGCGCGTTCCGCTCGTTAATCATTTGCGTCGCTCGTTCCATCTCATCCTCTCCCTCTATCGATTGAAACATGAAAGCACCTGGAAGTGATTAAAATAGTGAATCAGTCTAGGTGTACTTTGGTTACAGTAATTACCAGTGAAAAGGCTTGCTCTGTGCATCTTTACAACGATAGCTCTATGTGTCTCTATTCTTTTTTATTTCTACACTGTTGAAAATTGAAGGCTAACTAATGTCAGTAACCTCAAATTGGTCGGTGTTGTTCTATTTGAAATGTAAACACTTGAAAAAAGACATCTTAAGCTGAATGTTTCTAGTTTTAACGATCTGATAAGGTTTGAATTCTATAATCGTCGATAAATAGTATTAACATTAAATAATATACGCTTTAGGCGGATAATACATCCCTCTGAAATGCCTAAATAATTAAATTGTATTTACACTTTCTTTTTTTCAACACGTTAACGTGAATAAGTATTGCTAATTAAATATCAAATATATAGACCGAAAGGCTATTTGATTGTCTCTCTCTATTCTCATCATCGTCATCGTCAACCCATTTACACGTCCCACTGCTGGACACGGGTCTCCTCCCACGCGAGGGTTTTAGTCTTCACAGTTTTTAGTCTTCTTTCCGAGGACTATAAACCTTCTTTGAGGTGCAGGTTTTATCACAGTGTTTTTCTTCACCGAAAGCTCATTAGTAAATTTCGCATATGAATTCCGCATACGAAACCCAGATCCGACTCTATCATGTAATAAATGCGATTCCGGTATTACAGAACTATGTTCCTTGAATTTTACTTTTCCTATTCCGATATCTGATAATTACTTAAGTATTTATAGGTTCTTTTTTAGACTAAATAAACATCGTTTTTAGAACAAATCATTATTTAAGAAAATTAATCCACGGTAAATTAAGTGAAACAAACAACCCACGCATCTTTGTAGGTCTGAAAGTAATATTAATTATGAATATAATTAATTCAGTCTTATTCAATGTAGAGGAAAACGAATTTAACAATAGCCGACATTTTGTACATACACAGAACTCTGAAACAGTGATTTTTCTTCACAATATCAAAGAATTTAAACACCGATGTAATGTATTTTTCTTTTTTGGGTGTTCTTTTTGGAAGTGTTCAATGATGTCCACTGTTGAGTTAGCGTGGAAATATATACTTATTTTACTTGTGTACTAGAAATGTAATAAATAGCTTTTAACAGTAATAGCAGCAGAGCTCCTTGTGAAAAAGTTCGTCCAGGGTTGCTACCCTACCACTACCACCTTACCTATTTCATTTCTGCCGCCAAGCAGTAATGTCAGCATTACTGTGTTCCGGTTTGGAAGGGTAGTGAAATTCCAGGCACATGAGACTTGTCAACTTATGTTAGATCTTTGCGATTTAAAGCTTCGAGTGCGCCTGTTATGGACAGGCGTGTAGCTTACCATCAGGTGTACGACTTGTTCGTCCTGTCACTTGATATTATAAAAAAATTTAAAAAATACATCCGATTTACTTTTTACAATGAAAAAAAGGTTCAACGCATTCGAGAAGACATTTCTAATTACTTCAAACTCAAGAACTCTAATTACTAGAGCTAAAAAATACTCCGGATGACTGCACATTGCGTAGGTAGCTAACAATTCTTGGGTCTTCAACTCGGTCCAATATTTGTAACTGTTTTTAAAACAATGAGCATGAAATCTTGGCACACTCTACAATAGTAAAATACTGCTCCGTCTGTCATCCTTTATGCCGACAACTTAATTTAAGTTCGCATATTTCATTATATCCCATTGTTCAAATTGTTTTTACATTGAGAAGGAATATAGAAATCAAATTTATTACAACTTTCAAATGTGTTATAAACTTAAGCTGACAGTTCTCTTGAAGTCTTTTATTTAGTAAAAGCTTAGAGGAATAAAATCAAAGGCAAACCCGAACGATATTATAAGTTTTATTATGCTCAATTCACATTGCTGCAGAACGACATGGAAGTCAATTTTCGTAACTACAAGATAATGATGGGGCTTTATGTCAATTGTGTAACGTAGAAACTAGATGAGCCAAACAGTTCTCGCGCTATCTCGAGAATTCCTACAGCTACCGTATTGTATTTAATTTTCACATTACACCTTTGACATAAACTTCATTATGCTGTACAATTTAACTGCCTCCGGTTACCATGCTGATCTGCCACGCCCAAGTCCCGGGTTCGATTGCCGGACCAGGAGAAATATTTGTACGGCCTAAATTTATTTATCTCGTGAGTTGGGGTGTAATTTATGATCATCTATGTGCGTTTCCATAGCACCCGCGACACAGGGTTCCCCTAGTGGCGGGGCTATGAGTGTGTCCGTTAAAAAAATTTCGCTGCATCAATAGCTCCCATTCCGCGGTAATGTAAATTGAGCTTATACTGCAAAAAAATACCATCACCGCCATTTTTATTATTATTTTGTTTAGACACACGCTTGGCCACAATCTCTCGTGATGCCAACGACGTGTAACCAACGATGTTACGCATTTGTGTAAATGTTTATTCACCGGTAGTGTGTTCCATTTCCTTGTACGCATTAGGAAGGAAGAAACTGTGAAAGGGTGCTATGTCAATGACACAAATATTAACTGTTCCGGACTTTCTAGCCAACCGAAGAGAAAACAAGACAATGTGACGGGTCGACGTGTTGTTTGCCTGATAGTAACACACCTGTCTACAGCAGTCGCAGTGCCAGTCAGAGCTTTAAATCGCAAATATTTAAGGGGCGCGTGCGGTCGTCACCCTGAGGTATAAATTAACACGTTCCGCGTGCCTGCAATTTCATCAGCACCTTTAACCCTTCAAAACCGGAACGCAGTAATGCTTAGCTGCAAAAATAGGTAAGGTGACAGTAATTCCCTGGACGAACTCTTTCACAAGGAGTTTTACTGCTACTGCAAGTGGAACTAAGTGGAAAAGTTTCTGCTTCAATATTTCTGTCTTAAAGCTGTTGCTAAATAGAAGGGAAGAAAGAATCACGCCAATGCGACGGCAGTGTCTATAGGCGGTGGAACCGTTTCTATCTTCACATGTATACTGGGAAACCAAATCATTTTTTATAACAAATCAAATATAAAAACACAAGGAGGCATAAGACGGTAACTGCAGAATAATATCAAAGATCAAAAGACAAGCAGCGTATTAGGAAGCAGCTTTATCAACACCCCTACTGCTAACGACGATTACGGCTACGACAAATACTTTTTCCAGCTATAGAAATACTAGCATAACAGCAACAGTATCAGGTATAGGTCAAGGCATACAAAAATATAACATTGTAATCGAGACAGATTTAACCGAACCCGAAATGATGTCAATATCAGAGAGGTTGGCCGTTATCCAACACTAATATTGGGTAATAGTTACAGACTGCAGTACGATCACAATACCTGCTATGCTATTTTCGCGTTTTATAAACAGTACAAGTCACTGTGACAAAAGTCTTACCGTATCAACGCTAATTGAAGATTAGCTATATTTATCAGCAAAGGTGAACCAAAAGATCTGAATATATTTAGACACGCACTTCTTCACACATTGCAATTTACATGGCTATTCGTATTCGAGACGGGTTGTGTACAGCAGTACGACACACAAACAGATACTGACAAATATGGTCCTCTGGAGCAAAAAAAAAAGCGTTAAAATAATAAATATGACCATAGTGTACGGTTTAAATGCGAAATCATTAATTACAATCCCTATATGATTTCGTTACATGCTTCATGATCACGGGTTGACTAAGCAGCGGTAGATGACAGCTTTAAAAACAGGCATAAGTATCTGTCTACTCTCTTTCGCTGTCGACGACTACCTTCATCTCGATTACTTGCAGCGTTACCATTGTCACTCACTTTTTTCAGCAAATCACACTCACTGTATCCACACAAGTCGATGCATTTCTGGTAGTACTATTTCTTGTAAGCAGAGATAGGCAGTGGGTTAAAGCCCAATTAACCTGCCCGAGCGTATACCCAAAGCGCCGGGTTTTAACTCATTTCTGCCTCAAATCGTAGGCGGAAACATTATATGTGGATAAAATAATACGGAATTGGTATCGCAATATATGCATTCCTGTGGACGTTGACATACTACTAGGAATGCACAATACAATTCGATTTTTATGAAAATGGATTCAATTAGAATTCAAATAGAATTAACGAGTTTTTTTATCGATTCATGTTCATGCGATTTTCAAGCAAACCGATTCAATACAAAGGCAAAATATGTATATGTAGTATGCAAAAAAAATAAACATTTTGCAATAATATCATTCATTACATTTGAGCAAAATTCGATTTATAAATATTTAGTTGTAAATAGTTTTTGCCCTCGATTTCGGGCGTGAATGGGTTTTAACCCAATAACTCAGTTAAAACCCGGCGACATCGTAACCATTCCGAAATATGGAGAAAATAAAAAAACCACATCGTGGTAAGAAACTGGTAACTTTCTTTCATTATCTGGTTTACATGCGAATTTACCGATTTCACACCTTTGATGTGCGTCGAGAAACCACAAGCGCATGGTAATGCATGTCTTGTATTTGTTGTATTTGTATGTTATGAATAGGGAAACAACGACAACACTTTGTCACACATACTATTACACATGGTTGTAATTACTTTTTAAATATTGGTTATGTAAGTGGCCAGTTCCGGAAACTTATAGTGCGCCCTATGTATTTAGAGCAGTAGTAGCCCAGTGGAAGAAAGGTTGCTTCTCAAATTACCGGTTGTAAGTTCGCATCTTAGTGGTGACATTGTACCTTTTTATATGATAAAATAAGTGCGTATTTGCCCTCCTTCTGATTCGGTGGAAATTGATGAAGATGTCCAGATGGAGCAAGCATACCTAAATAATCCCCATTCACTCTCGCCTTGAAAAGACCCAATGGCTTTAGTTTTTAATTTACGAAGACAGGTAATCAAGGCACTCTTCTTCTTAGCGTGCCGCTTCTTTACGAATACTGGCGATCATCATGGACGTTATTATTTTTGAAGCTGTCGCACGGAAGAGGGTACGTGTGCTAAGA